CCCTAAACCTATGTTTAGGATCCTGTTAGGGAACCCCAAAAAGGAACTACTATGGGGCCTATGGATAGGGCTCACGACTCATCGGTGCACGGCTCTTCTTTGTGAGGGGGTCTACGGGATCTCGGGGCTTTTGTAGGGCTTTATAAGGTAAGGTTTAGGCATCGAGCCACAGCAAGCCCCAAGGTAAAGCATCGTGCCTCGGGTGTCGACTTTCAAGCTCAAGAGGCACAACTCTTATGCTGGCGTTAGGGTTTAGGGTTTAGTCCTAGCCCCCCCCCCCCCCCTTCGGTGCCTTCCTCGCCGACGGTGTATGGCTTAGGGGTCGGAGACCAACCGCCCAGGTCCTAAACTCTAGATCCTCCAACACTAAACACCAAAAGCCTGAACCCTAGGATGCGGGATCCTGGATAGCCTTGACTCGGTTCTAGTTCTGGTGCCCCGGAAAGTACTTATGAGTAGGTACCTCTATAGCATCAGGGAAATCTTCGAGTTTCCCAAAGTGACACCTAGTTGAGATCCTTACAAGTCAACCTGAAACCCTCCATCGGTGAACCCTAAACCATTAATCAACCCCTGCACCTACGGCTGATGATATAAACCCAGCTTTACCCATACTGGTGAATATATACCATAAGTACCATAGTATAGGGTCGTTAAGGACATGCAGGATTTATATCATCAACAGTATAGATCGGAAACAGACAGACCATCAACAAGCCATCACCCGACAAAAAGCCGAACGGAGGTCCTCCAAGTGAATTGAGGGCCCTGCAAGGCATTGCAAGGACATCTGAAGTGTGTCATCTTGGCACGAAACCAAGGCTAGGGTTTAGGGTTTAGGGTGTAATTGCTGTTTCACGACCCACACCCTCAGCCTATATCTCTCGGCCCAAAGCCCAGAGAAAACAAACGAGAAACTAGCTTAACACATCGAGGCAAAGCGGCACCCAAACCCTCACCCCTAGATTGTAGAATAGTTTAGGGCTCTTAGCCATAAACTCCCTAAACCGCCAAGCCAGGATTTTGGCAAGCAAAGACGGTCCGGGGTCACGGCATGCTGCAGGCACCTCTGTCACAGGGATCTCGGGGGTTGGTGTCTAGGGTGTAGGATGCAGTTTGGGCCTAGGCGGTAAGAGGGTCTAACATAGGGGCCTTAATAATTAGAACAGGGGTTTGGGGTAAAGTATATTATAATTGGAATCAGGAACCCCAAAATTCTAATGATTTAGGCCCTACATTACGGCTTAAGCATGGTTCAGCTCCAGCTTTTGGGAAGCATGGGTCTCGGGCTTTTTGTATGTTACAGTGCTTCCCTTCCCTAAAACCTTGCCTGCACTTCCGAAGCTCAGAGCAACCGTGTTCCTAAACCCTAAACCCTAAACCCGAAATCAGAGGGTCATGGTTGCGGTTGTTGTAATGTAGGGGCCTTCACGGCTTAGAGTTTAGGGTTTAGGGTTTAGGGTAGGGTTTTGGGGTATGTTGGGTATATCAGACTATAATTATAACAAGGAAGCCCCCCAAAATAGTATAGGCCAGGTAATTATTAAAGCCCCTATAGTACACTGCTCATTTTCGTGCCCTCGAAACCAAACACCCCCAAACTGGCTGATTGAGAACTGAGAACAAAGCTCCCGTGTTGCAGAGGTCTGCGACCTATAGGGTTTAGGGTTTAGGGTTTAGGGGGGCTGAATTGGAATAAACAGTGACGAACATTCAGCTACTCAGCTACTACGTAACGGCTTCACTGGCTTCTGAAGCCCTTTTTACACAGCCCTTATAAAACAGAATAAGCCTCAACTACTGCCTCGCCAAACCCTTCCCTCCGATGCAACTTCTGCAAGCGCCTGTGGGTGGGACGAAGCTTGCTTAGCTCAACGCTGGTTGACCCAAAAAGCGGCGGCGAGATTCACACTTCAAGGCGCGATGCAGCTTTGTGTTGAAGGGTTTCTTAGAGTCTTCGGGAGGGCTTGAACTCACGCGGTTGTCTGCCGATTTTGCAGGAATCCTAATGCTAGGGTGACTTCCAAATTTGGCGTCCATACAAGAGGGATCGTTTTCTTTCAATACCTCTTTGTCGCCTAAAACCCCCAGGCACAAATGTCCCTTTTCTCGCTGTCTAGGGTTCGGGGTCACGCTTCAAGTAGCCTTGAGGGTTCAGGGGTCTACGGCTGTCAGTTTTTCTGAACTTGTGAGCTTGGGGCTCTCGTACCATGAACCTCGGCAAGTGGCTTCTTCTTCCAAGCGAAATCCAGAGCTCTGAACACAGTTTGGTCTACCACCCAAGCCACAACTGTATGGAGGAACAGTGACTGCTGTGTGCATGGGGCACGCCGTGAGGTTGTATTCAGCGATGTCGGTCTCCGTGTGCCGGTACCTTGAAAACTCGTGTGCCCTCAAGCCTGACCCAAACACTTGCTCCTTGAAAGGAGCCTATACGCTTGCGACCTCAAACTTAAGTAACTAAAGCCTGGCATCAGAGCTTAACCCCTGAAGTCTGAATAACTCGAATCGCTCAAACCCTCAATCCAGGTTCCCGGTTTGTCTCTGTAGTTCAACTCCGCAAAATCGAGCCAGACCTCTTACTGTGAACCCCTACAGCTCTGAATGCGCAGACGATGCCTTGAGGCTCACTATAGTTGTGGTTATCTCGGGTTCTGCTGTTCAGCTCGTAGGAGTAAGGGGTTCTCGTTCAGTGGTAACGGTTACGCCGTGAGGGGGTTTCAGGGTGTCCAAAGCCCTACGACCGGACTGCACGGTGTACTTGGGGGGGGGGGGGGGGG